TCTGAAATGAAGAGAAGTAAATCCAGTTTGTCTGGAGCAAACAATGAGCTTTTCTTCAAATGTTAATGCTCTCATACTTTTTAATAAACTATAAAATCTGTGACATGTGCACAAGCTGCAAATTGTAACACTGTTTGTAGCTTAGAGTCGTGTTCTTGATTAATAAATCTTCAGCCTGGATTTTGAAGTCTGCTTTGGATCATGGTCCTGTTGTACAATCCAGCCCGATATCTGCCTCCAGAACTTTAGTGGAATCCATTCTTCCATCTATTTGTGCCTCACAACTCCAAAGACAAACATTTCCACCCTTAACAGTTGACAAACATGTTCTTCTGCTTTTCTTTCTAACCCTGTGGTGACTGTGGTCAAAGAGCTCAGTTTATTCAGCTTATCCAGATGTTGCTGTGCAGGATTTACACTTTTGCGATGAGGTCTCAGGTGAGGATTTCTGTGTGTTGGTGTATCAATGCTGCACCACTCATCTGCAGCTCCTCTGTAGTCACAGGGAGGTTTCTCTTAAAGTTTCTTGGTCTTCCAGATCTGGTCTCGACTTCCACAGTTCCCCTTCACTGCTGTTTCTGAATCTCATTTCAGACAGATTCATGTTCAGATCCTCAGTGAGCAGCTTAGAGGAGCTCATGGTTGAGCTTTACCACAAGGTTTGAAGAGTCAGAAGATTTATCATCAGCTGATCATCCTGATAACAGCTCTTCACCTGCTTTATTCCTAATAAGTCCACGAAGGCATGATGAGTTCTTCCAGTAGGGCCCAAACTGTTGCACATGTCTTAATCAATAGCAGTGGATTACCATTTGAGGAAAGGCTCATTTTAATGTCTGACTGTTTAATTCTTTTCACTAAATAAAAATATCTATTAAATATGGAATCTACCCAGAGGTTAACCACTGACATACAATACTAATTCAGGTGGGTCTTTGCAGTTTTCAGACTACTTTAGCTTATATTGTGCTCACATTCCTAAAAATGAAGTGTTGTTTTAATAATAACTGACACACAGAAAACATGGGCCAGGGGGGTCGAAAGGGTAGCAACAGCAGATGTTTACCCCGGGGGTTTCCAACAGCTTCATTTAGCCATGCTGTGAACTTTTGAATCCATTTTCAAATTAAAACAAAATCCATCAAACCTCCTGAGAAAAATTTGTGATGAGATACTGAAGTAGGACTCCACATACAGGGTTTATCAGAGAAAAACTGAGTCTTCCCATCAGTCACATGAGTGACCTTGAAAAATATCTTCAGCAATAAGGCTCTAAAAATGTTCTAACAATGCATTTCCAGGAAGTATTGAACTAATAAAGCGTCTTAATCAAATATGTGTAGTGTCATATGTTTAGTGTACACATGTGACACTACACATCCGTTTGTAAACTGTCATATTACCGGCACTGTTTACTTTCTGGTTGCACCAAGAGAAGAGGATGGACAGGAAAAAGAGATGTGGTACACATTGTCTTTAAGGTGTCTAGTATTGATGTATGCAGAGGTCAGAAAAGGAGTAAATGTTGATGGCAGCAGTAGTGACCGGTGGGATAACACACACACAAACACACACACACACACACACACACACACACACACACACACACACACACACATACACACACATACACACACACACACACACACAAACACACACACACATAGTTCTTGTTCTTGCTGTTATCCCTCAAAATGAGAGATGCTTTCCTCAGTCATTGTGATGGTGATGGGTCAGATATGGAGCGTGAGGGGGTGATGAGCTGCCAGCCAGGCTGTCAAATGTTGATGCTGCAAACATGACAGGAACAGCTCAAAATGTATGTATACATATGTATGTGTATGTGAAACAGTCTGTATAAATAATAGTCATCAGAATGATGTGTACTGCCTGTGACGAAGTTTAAATGTGTTAATAACTGGGCTGGGATATGTAAGAATATAATGACTGCATAGGAAAAAATGTTAATTCAGTCTACAACATATCACACCGGTCACAACTATGACCAGAAAACACAGGTTCGCATATACAGATTTTAAAAATAATGATTGATTTGTTGTTTCTCTATGTTCCTGCCTTGAGTTTGAAGCTTTGTACCTGCACAAGCTTTTGTTTGCTTTAAACTCACATATATGTGAGTATTTATATATTTGAATATCTTTGTGTACATCTCATATCTCTTATAGTTATTATACTTTTCAGGTGCCAACAAATGAAATTAAAAAACAAATAAATAATTTCAAAGCCCCTTGTTTTCATCTACAAAGACCTCACAAGTCGACAGTAAAGACGAGGGTCTGAACTCTGCCTTTATACCTGGTAGACATTAACAGTACACCTGTATCAGCTGCTAACTTTAACCACCAGGCAACAGCATGGTCTTTTAAACGCTGATCTTGTAACCACCATGTTTTTAAGATACCAGTTTACATCTGTAGAGCAGTGTTGAGACGTGGACATGTAGAATTCAATGTGATTATTTATATAGTGATGGTCTTCAGTTCCAGTGAAGACAGCTGCAGTCTCTGTGTGCTGCTATCAGCCCGCTCATCTCGGTGTCTGTGTGAGCCAGTGTGTTTTGTTACTGTACCACTTGGGGGCACCAGACTTTTTCATATTCTACACATAGTGACTTTAAAAGTTTCTGATAAGGTGCTGAGTTAAATTTCTGAGAAACTCTGGGGATTTTTTTCTCAAACACACACACACACACACACACACACACACACACACACACACACACACACACACAGCACAGCACATGAAGATAATACAGTTTGTACAGTGATAATAAGTGATGGTGGCTGTATAATCCAGCTATGAAACTGAGCTGCTGGGGTGTGATGAGTCTCTTCTCTACAGGTTTCGCCTCACCTCTTACAATCACCTTCCATATGTCGACCTGACCGGGAGCCACTGTTGCAACAGACTGATGGACTCAGGATCAGGGTTAGACTGATATATAAATTTAAAGGCAGAGTTGGTGTTGTCTGTAAACCCTATAATTCACTGTCAGCATTTTGTTTTCTAATTGTAACAGTTTTCAGTCAGCAACAGTAGGGTGTTGTTGGTGGGGTTGATTCCAGACTTACAGACAATAATGTATTAAATTATCTTCACGATAAAGTAGATGTGTGTGGCCTGACCTATAGAGATACTGACTGTGAGTTTCCATGTCCTGTAATGGTGTAGTCTACATGTTTCAGAAGGTTTACCCACCTGACAAACTGATTACAACCATCAGAGTGAATGGCTGAGGCTACATGTGGATATTTGTCTGATATTCACTGTGAACCACAAGTCAAAATAATGACTGACCACATTTAGAAATTATAATGTGTTTGAGTTATTTTGAAGGCTCATAACCCAGCTTGTATTCAGTAGTGAAAAAGTTATATTTGAAAGTAGCTTTAAAGCTGCACGAAAAAATATTCTTACATATGAAAAATATATCACATGACTTTGTGATGTGAAAGTGTTTGCTCGTTGTGATTAACCACTCAGAGAATTATCACCCTGCTCTACTGAGCCTTTTACCGTCTTTTAGTTCATTGTACATGCGGCATTGTGGGTGGGACTTGGGTTCCACCCATCCTTACTGACAAGGAGAACATATATTTTCTTAACTTTTATATTTAACTCTTAATATTTACATTTAAATGTAAACATATCCCTTCCTAAAAGAAGTATTTATTAGGCTGCTATCATGTGTTACGTCTGGACTAATCATAGCAGGCCATTTTACCTGTCAGTCTAGCTCACCCAGCAGTTAATTTCTCTCTCTCTCTCTCTCTCTCTCTCTCCCTGCATTAAACTTCAATAATCAGCTAGATCTTCAAGACAAAATGTTATTTCCTTAAACAGAACTAAAATGTCATGTTTCTAAATAAATGGACATATTTGTCAACAGCAAAAAAACTATATACACATAACTATAACAGTGATTAATTTCCACAACAGTAGAGCAGTATAACTGCGTGTGTTGTACTGAACACAAACTGTTGTGGGTAAATAATAATTCATCTCAATAGAGAAAGTTATTTGGAAAAAGATTTTAAAAGTGTCATAATCAACCAGATGCGTTAGTCACCTTTCACAGAAGAATCAGTCATTATATTTTACCAAGTAAAGGAACTTGTCAAAGGAAGGAAGATAGTCATTTCTGCAATTAAAAGGCCCTGTTAAAATTACTTGGGCCTATCCCAAATTAAAATCCTGGTGCTATACCTGGTTCACTGTTTTGGTTCAACCTTGTTTGCAGCAGCAGCAGCAGCAAGCAGGTGGCTGTTTTCAGTGAAGAACTTCTGACTGACCACCTGTGCCACCAAACAACAGAGAGACACAGTCAGTAACTAGTTGCTGATCACAATGGAGAAACTAGAAGCTAAAGTGGCAGATATTATTCCCAAGATCAATATGCATGTTAGGGAGTCCAAGAAAAGTTGAATCGGGGGCAACTGTACTTGGATGTAGATACCTGAATACATTTCATCTCAAGAGGCCTCTTCAGTTCCAACTGAAGAGGCCTCTTGGATGAAAGCTGTGGATGGATTATAAAGCTTCAAATAAAAAATATTTTTTTGGAGAAGAGTGTTGTATCTGTCCCTGACACTTTATTCTTGAGCCACCTCAGCTGGGTCATGTCAGTGCAAAGGTACAATGATCTAAGGGCCAGCCTCAGAGGATCGCCACCTTTTGTTGGAGGGATAGCTTCTGATAGGATGACCCACGGCACAGTCATCTGGTGAGGGACCAGAACAAGAAACCTTAAGACATCAGGATTGATTCAAATAAAGTGTTAAATCATCACACAGCTACTGAAACCTTCTCACCAACACCTGTCTGCTGCTGGAACTAAGTTGTTTTTTTCTAACTTCACAGATTCATTAAAATAAGAATCTGGGCAGGATTTGAACGTCTCTCTTTTCATTCATTCATTTTTCATCAGAGTACAACCTCGTGAACACTTCAGGAAAGAGACTTCCTGGCACTTCCTGGTTCATCTCTAATGTACTGTAACACACAGAGCACCTTCAATCTGAAGGACAACAGCCACAACATGAAAAAATCCAGTAACACTAACATGTGATTTTCAGTGTATTTCAGTCTCAAATATCTGCAGGTATCTTGACTCCCTGTTTTGAATGTGGCCATGCAACAGGATTTTTATGAATGTGGACCAGAATGTCAGCTCATTGGCCTTCAGAACTTTACATCAGTCGAACCCTGGTCAGTATCTACAGAGCACACCGTGGAGGTCTGGGTGAGGGACATTTGGTTTTACTATTGACTGAGAAATTTCAAAGAGCTCCTAATGATTCTGGATTCATCTTGATCACAAGAGTGAGATATATTATGACTCATTGACAGATTGCATTCTGGGAGAAGTCCTTTGGTGTAATCCCAAACTTCAGACTGACTGATTGAGTGGAGATGTGGAGCGTGGGTTTTGGCAGGAGTCGTGCACCTGTCCACAGCACTGAAGTGGGAGGAGGGAGGCGTAACGGGGGAGGGCGGGGTGAGGCACTCCTCACAGGCAGAAGTCAAAGGTCAGGTCGGACTTGCCCATCTTCTGTCTGTACACTGCATCAAACTTGTCATTCATAGACACTGTGAAGACGTCCTTCCATAGGCCTACACGACCTGCAGGGAGGACAAAAACACCTTCAGTCATCTTTAGACACAACCTTGATTCCTGTGTTTAAAGAGAACGAGTCCTGATTTATCAGAGGCATGACAGAGAGTAACTGTCAGATCAGATATTTCTAAATGTTCACATTCAGTTGACAGTTTTTTCACAATGCTGTGGATCCTTACATCAAGCTGAGCTGTAAGAAGCCTCAGTCATTCAAGCTGTGCTTGAACTGTGCAAGTACCTTTCTACAGCATGTCACGCAGGTGAGGGTGTGCATGATGTGACGAGGATGTGAAGGTTCCTACCAACCACTACTGAACCTTTTATCTTTTAACAGCAGGGCAGATTTTAGGCCTCAGTGAGCTCAGTAGGGCAATTAATTTCAGACACATGGCTATGACACTACACTGAGAGAATGATGAGAATGAAAAGTAAGGCTGTCATTTGACAGTACAAACAGGAATATCAAACTAAACTCCAAGCCACAGAGAATAATACTGACAGAGCGATTTCATTTTTTAGATTAATTTAAATGTATCATGTGTCATCAAGATCTCCACACATTAGTTTACTGATGCTGACCACAGCAGGACTGTTCACTGTGGTGTTACTGATAGACCTGTCATATAAAATCCAACGTATGTTTTTGAGTCTATCTTCATTGAAAACTTGTACTTATTTAGTCTCAGAGTTGTGATGGCGATGCTCTTAAACCCACATGAATCCTGATTATTCATCTGACAGAATCTGCTGGTATGATTTTTTCTTCTCTGCAATGAAATCATCAGATCTCATCTGACCTGTTTGAGCCTGACGAGGCAGCAACTCACCTGACTCAGGTTAGACTGATTGCCAGCTGATGTGTGCTACAGCACACTAGACACCAGACTGCCATGCACTAAACAAAAAAAAAAGCTGGGAAAAAATAGAAAAACACATGACAGAAACCATAAGTAAACATCAAAATCAAAACATAAATGACAACATAAACCAAACTGAAAAGTGATAACACATCAGGGGATGAATATCTGATGATCTGAAAACACACTGGACCTGCAGCTTCAAATGAAACCTGTGAGAGAGGTATATACACCACCAAATGTCAAGATTTTTGATGGATGACCCCCTATTGTCTAGAGGTTATCAAGGTTATGCTAATGAGGGGGTGGGCGTGGGAATGTAATGTTAATGTAGTAGACTTTCCCGGGGGGGTAATGTTAAAGATGCGTACTGATGTATAAGGGGGGTGTGTATAATACCTTTATGAAACTTTAATTGGTTGAAAATACCTTTATGAAACTTTATATGGTTGAATGGGTTTAAAGGAATAGGTCATCACGCTGTTGTGGTCTGGTTTTTACTGTGTTGGTTAGTTTTGCTCCTGATTGACTTCTCTCTCCCATTCCTGCACTGTGAGTGCCGAGAGGCGGGGCGATCTCCGGGAGCGCTCTTCCACCGGCACACCTGCAGCTCGTTCGGCCTAATCAGCACCCTTTTTAAGACACACTCTCCTTGTCCCCAGTGCTGGATTATTCCCTTTGCTTCTGCTTGTCCCTCGCGTTCTTGCTGATCTCCTGCCTCTCGCCACGCGAAGTCCTTCTTGTGAATTCCTTCTAGTCTAGTGAGTTTTTGGTGCCTTGACACTATTTTCTGTTGTACTTTGACCTTGTGCCTTTTCCCATTTGTATGGTGATTTTCTGTTCTACGTTTTGTGTTGGTACTTTGTTGATTTTTTGTTTGGTACTTTACGTTTACTCCTTCTAAAGTGGTTTTTCGTTGTTATTTTGTCAAATAAACCAGTTTTTTGAATTTACTCTGCATCTGGATCTGGCCTCCCTTTGTCTGGCACATAACACACGCATCCATATTCACAAGCAACAAGTCTTGATGACTAGGAGTGAGAAACGTACATTCTTAAAGCATATTACTGCTGTGAGACAGCGGTTTCTAAGGAACAGGTCATCACGCATATGTATTCACAAGCAACAAACAATGAAACGTTTTTCATAAAGCATAAAACTATTGTAAAAAAATAAAGTTTAACAATTATAGTATAAAATGCATGTTCTCCTGTGTGCATCAGACGCAGGATTCACTGAAAACAGACAACGCTGACGAGATGAGCCACGGTATGAAAAAACTTTATTTTTACCAGCCCCGTTATTGTTTGAAGAAATAAAAAACGTTTAAATATAGCATTTATTTATTTTATAAAAATAAAGTTTCCGCAGAGGTTCACCATCTTCCTCTACAAAACAGAGACAACACATATCTCGATAAGTAATATATATTCCTTCTTCCTGAATCACTAATTATTTCATTTTTAAAAGGTCTGTGCTCTACAACTATGATATTTTTTTTGTCTTTTTTTTTTTTTTTTAAGTTACCTCCGATGAGCTGGAGGGTCTGTACCTTATGCAATCAGACTACGGTAATGTTTCCATTTGTTTGTTTTTGTTTTTCTATTTAACAACGTCAATATCAAAAACGGTATCATTCATTCTCTAACTACCAACAGATTTAATAGACGCTGCTAATTGGCTTAACCGGGTTGGACATCTGGCCGTTTTCCACGGGGAGTTAGGAGGCGTTGAAGAAGGAGAGAGTTCACTGGTAATCTGTCCGAGGGTGAACCATTTAACGGCTTCCAAAATGTCGTAAACCTGGTCTGATGGAAATATCCGAAAATATCCGATCGGAAGGTCCGACGAGGGAATCTGCCGATGGTCCGGATGTAACGGGTAAGTCGATGAAAACTTTTTTAAACGTTTCTTTGGATGAAAGTATTTTTTAAATTTATTTTTTAACAATTCCTGCGGACATCCCGCTTTTACCACTTACACATTTAAAATTAAGACTGGTCTTCCTATGGACTTCCGGAATTTCGGGGGTGTGTCTGTGACGCATTTCCAGCAGTGTATTTGCAAGACAGCGCCATCAGCAGGGTGGCGATGTATTGTCACCTTCATTTAGCTGCATGGAGTGCAGAGTAAATATTGTTTTATTAATTGCGTTTTTCTGCCTAAGTACAGCGGTTCAGTCATCAACTATACCTCCTGAGACTCCTGAGATTCCTGTGACGCAGTCGCATCTACCTGGCCCTTCAGATGGACACGCGCCCATGGCACGGAGACTGATCAGAGGTAGGCTTTGTATATTTTATTTATGGCGCATGATATAAAATAATAAAATTAATAAAATACACGTAAACTAAAATGAGATAACCCAAATCATTAAATCCTAAAGCTAAAAGTACATGACACGCAGAATTAAAACATTTCCTCTCACCTCTTTTGTCACAGAGGGGATACCGAGGAGAAATCTGATTCGTCAGCCCAGAAGAGGGCGAAGAGGACCTCCCTACCTACGTCGGAGAAGCTCAAGAACCCACTCCGTCAATCCTCAGCGTCTGTGTGCGAGCAATCGCAGAGTCATTTGACAGTTGGGTCAGGGTCTTTCATCCACTTTTATGGCTTTGTGTGAGAAGTTGTAAAGTAAGGTGTGACATTTCTACATGGATAAAGAATTAAACTTGGGTTTTTTTTACGATCTTTGTCACTCTGACGTAGTTTCAACCGAATTAGATAAATATGTAGAGGAATTGAACCGTATTCCACCTGCTTTTGCAGTAGACGTTAGCATAGCTAACATAGCTGAAAATTCCTCCGAATCTTATCCTCTTGCGGAAATCCATCAAATCTGCTATACAGAAAATTATTTCCAACCTATAGAAGATGCTCTCAGACTAGTTGAACAAATACCGTTACCCACCCCCTCCCAGCAGCACGAGTCTGACGGTCAAGCCTCTTTTGCCACCGTTGCATCGCTCGCTTCTCACGCTGTGCCAAGAGACCGATAGTGAACCTATTTCCCCAGCCTTGCACGCTGCTCATACAAGCGTGTGTGAATCAAACCCCACTCAACAGAGCGGGGGAAATTCAGGGCGGGAAGCTGAACCGTGCAGAGCACTATCCCGCAACCGTTTCAACAATCTAGAAATGAGACAAGTTTTTACTGTACCACCTCCTAGAAATGTGCCAGATCTAGCTCAATTTTACCAAGACGTCATCCAGATCCTCAAGGATCTGGCCGACGAAGTGAAATTAAAGGCTAAATGTAATGATGTGATACAGTTAGAAGTAAAAGGCGGAAACATGCAAAATCACGTTAATGTTGACCATCGACAAAGCTGGTGAAACTATCCTGCCGGCTTTTGAAGGTTTACTAGGGCGCTTAGTGCAGTCCAACACAAATATAGCCTCAGACGCTAGCCTTGAATTAGTCGTTCAGGTGGTGTGAAACCCCAGAACGAAGGACTCAGCAATGGCAGCTGGTCAGAAGCCCACACGCCGCAAAATACATTTCCTAGCAAACGATGCAAGAGATTTTCCAGTTGATGATTATCCATTTTAATTATTCCACTTTAATAATAATCCACCAACACCTGTCTTTTAAAGTTAATCTCCAGAATGGAGTCGTGACAAGCATAGACAATCAGAGTGGTGGTATGCGGTAGCGGTACTCTGAATCTCATCTACAATCTTAAATTCCCGTTGTGAACGGGGGACAGAGCGTCGTTGTCTTCCCCCGGGTTGAGATTAAACACAAAGAGTACCCCGTGTTAAATTTTCTTTGCGGTTGATGCTCAGAGGTAAATCTTTCAGATGTCTCCCCGTAGCGATAAACATGTTGTAAAACTCTCTGACGGAAATCCCGTCGTTAAACTGGGGCTGGAAAGCCTTAGCCGAAACCTGTCTGCCGTCCTGACAGAGGGCCAGATATTCCACATCATTGTGGAGAAAATTGAAGGGTGACAGGTCTCTTCTCCCCGTGAAGGCTTCGTAGTTTACCATACCCAAAACCACGTATTTGGGTATAGCTCCCAGAAAGAGATTCTCCTGGTTACATATCCTGGAATTCTCCGGGATGGAGTAGGTTTTCACATTGACGAGTGACGGGATAGAGTGCATTGCCCCTCAATAAAGCCGTTGCATGACCTAAGCGCATG